CTACTACTACTACTACTACTACTACTACTACTACTACTACTATTCCTGCTCCTGCTTTGGGGGGTGGCTTTGCCACAAAACTCTACCCCGCAAAAGGCGAAAGTTTGGCGAAAGTTCAGCTCAAGATTGGCGAAAGTTCGCCCTGCCACATCTGACCCCCAGCCCATTATGAGTAAGTTTGAGTGACCGGCTACTACAGTGATTCTTGCAATTTTGATTCTTGCTGACACCCAGGAGAAACAAAAGAGACGTACAGGGTGTCAACAGTTAAGTAGAAGACACATGCTGACAAACAGTCAAGTTTCTATTTTGTGTTTGCCAGTAAAGAAGAAGCCATTGACGTGAACAAAACACAACATACATGGCACACATAAATACAACGTACTTCGGCGAAAGATAAAACGCAGGAAGGCGAAAGTTTGGCGAAAGTAAATTTTTTTTGGCGAAAATGACGGATCCCGGATAAAGGAATTTAGATCAACTCCCATATATATATAGTAAAAGACGATCATACGGCTCCCATTGAGTCCCCATGTTTTGCGCATCTGTATGCAGGTGCATAGAATTTCCAATATTCTGGACCTTTGCTTAGGTTCATTGTTGTCTTCCTTTTGGGGTGAATCCCCTTCTGGGGAACACTCCCCCCCTGCCATTTCGATTTCAACAAAGGTGTTGCTCCGCCATCCGTCCTCCGTACTCCGTCCCTTGTCCTCCTGCCATGTCCGGACGTCATGTTGCGGCGAGTGCCAGTCACACGAGAGCGCCTGGTCAGTCCGGACACACACGGACCTAGACACCAAGCCAGTGACGATTTGCCAGAAATGATGCCAGAAGATATACCAGACACAATGCCAGATGGAATTCCTGAACACATGCCCAAGATAGAATGCCAAAACGGATGTACAGTAATAAGTTGTGCATGTAGAATGCAAAAAGATACGACAGCAAATGCTGTATGTAAGATCAGGGTGTTAAAAGATATGCCAAATAGAATACTAGAAAGGATGTCAGAGGTTGCGCCAGTTAGAATGCCTGTTAGAATTCTGAAGATATGCGAGACAGAATGCCGGAAAGGATGTTAGAAGGTATGCCAGACAGAATGTCAGAACGCCTGGGGGCGAATACGGATGTCAGAAGATACACCAGGTAGAACACCAGATGATTTGCCAGAAAGGATGTCCAAAGCGCCACTTAGAGTGTCTGAAGATACAGACAGACTGCCTCAAGGGATATCAAAAGATATGGCACATAGAATGTCACAGAGGATGGTAGAACATGTGCCAGGTAGAAAGCCAGAAAGTATGTCAGATGGAATGCCACAAGGGATGTCAGTATAGATGCAAGAAGATTTGCCAGAAAGGCTGTCGGAATATATACCAGAAGTTGTTCCAGCTCAGATAGAATGCGGGGAAGAAGTGCCGGTTTAGAATGCCAGAAAATATTCAAGATTTCGAAAATGTCAGAAGATCTGCCGGTTAGATTGTCAGAAGATATGCCAGATAGAATGGATATCTTAGGAGCATATCTTAAGAGCATCGGGATGCCCGCAGAAGCACATGTCAAGCACAAAGCCACAAACAATATATTACAGTGAATATGGTTTCATCCGTGGTCAAGCTCTCGCGGCGCCATGCCAAGCTATCGACGTATTCGCACACTGAAGGCGGCATCACCTGCCCTCCAATCAAATCACTTCTCAGGGCGGGAACCAATCGAAGTAAAGCAATTTACCTTTTCCCGGTCTTGATCAGATCCAAGTTTTTTGGTTGGCTGAAGTGGGAAGTTGGCCGGTGTTTGGCTCCAATAAACCTCAGCTCTCACACTGGGACGGCTTTGTATACATTGAGGGGCGCCTACGTAGAAAAACCAGGCAGTGGGTTGATGATGTATTACAGCAATAC